AACGAAATTGAAAAAGAAACAATACAAATAGAAAACTAACAAAATAATTATTAAGTAACTAAATAATATTGACAAAGAAAATTTTATAATGGACTGATCTTCTAATATTAATTAGTTTAATTTTCCATGTTTGGTTAGGTAAAAAATATTAAAAATAAAGATTTCAGCATGGAATAATCAAAGTTTCATAAAATAATGAGTCGATTAGATTTAGATACATGTAAATCTTTCTATTTCATATCATGAATTCAAAATAAAAATGTAAAAGACTACATATCTTTATTTAGAGATTTGTTATCGGGTTTTTAATATTATTTTCTTATTTTTAAAATTTATCAAATTTTGTTTCATATTCTTCCGTGATTTAAAAAATAAAATAAAAAAAATAAATAAACCCGCGTATACGTGGGGCCTAATCTAGCTCTAGCTTCTTTCTTGCCAACAAGTTTAAGTTTCCCTTACTTTAAATCATATCAATATTTATTTAAAAATTATAAATCTATTCCAATTTCTTCTTGGCATTCTTATTGTTTTAGTTCTTTTTTTTTATGGGGAGATTGCTAAGATAAAATGAAGACTTAATATGTTCTTTTGATCGCGTAAAATGAAATACTGATATTATTACAAAACGTGGACAACAAGATGACATTTCCTAATTCCTTGTCCTAAACCCTATATAATACAAGTCTCATAGTTACGTAGACTAGAGCAAGCATCTTTTTTACCATTTCTTTCATTTTCTGGTCTTCTTTTCAATTAAAAAAACATCTAAATCATGAGTAATCCGGCTCCGGTGATGAACAAACACGTGATTGTTCAGATTCCCTCTTCTCAGTTTCCTGAAACATCAAATCCGGAATTCACCAGTCAAGAAAAGCAGCCAAATTTGTTTATACGTCTTGTGAATTTACTTTTCTTTCGTACAAAAAATCAAAGAAAAATAGATTACTTCGTGTGACTGAGGACGACAAAGACAAATAACTAACTAAAGCCTTTTTTGTGTAGTACGAAATAAACTTTCAACCGAATCAACTCCTAGTAAAAAAATATATTTGTTTTAACTTTCTTATTGTATGATGTTATTGGTTCCTATATGTATTTGTTAATCTAAATGAAAGAAGACATGGCTCGAGAGAGAAATTGGATATCCTTTATATAAATAAAGTTTTATTGACGATTGTATATATTGTGTGCTCTTCTCCTACCAATGATTTTAATGAATATTGCCTGGAGTTTAAATTTCTCCAACACCGAAACATGAGGTGAGAAAGAACCTCATGATCATGTATGAGTTGATATCAAAAGAAGCCATGAATGATCATCGAGCTTCTTTCTCATCTCATGTTTCGGTGGTTGAAAAATGTAAACTCTTAAACAAAGAGTGCAACAAGAGAATCTATGATTCTTCTTTTCTCAAACTCAAACTCCAAAAAAGTGAAAAAACCAATTCACTAAGACACAAAAAAACAAGAAGAAGTGAAGGAAATTGTTGTATGTGTTCGACGATGAAGAGAAGGAGAGTCAAGGCTTTGCTTATAAAGGCCAAGCTTTAAACGTAAACAATAAAGTGGAAGATTTCTCTTTAATGAAAAAATATTCTCTAATAATGATGCGAGCAAAAATGATGTTATAAAATCAAGCATGCATGTAAACTTTCTTTATCAAACCAATTTACGTTACTCTAACGTTACACTACGTAATGAATTAAGTTACTATACAAAATTGATATTTCTCTTATTTGTCAATACCTCCTTACAGTTTCACTATATTGTTGTTTCTTGTTTATGCCTCTAATAATTGTTTCATGATAATAGGGGGATGAATCTCAAGTTTTTAAATCCTACAATCATCCTCTCTAAATCTCTTTCACGTCTCAAGATTCTACGGTTTAAATGAAAACAGACACACCATTTAAACCTAATAACACACAAGCAACAACGCAATAATAACCTGAACAAGTCTTGCCAACTTTCAGTTCTTCTTAAACAGAGAGCAAACACAAAAACTCAAAAGGCTGTTTAAGGTGGGCATGAATGAAACATGAACGGAGCTTATAGTTAAATCTCATTACGCAAACAAGCTTCTTATTCGAACATTACCACTCATTCTTCTTCTTCTTCTTCTTCTTCTTCATCTTCTTCTTCTTCTTCTTCTTCTTCATCCTCATCTCCTTCTTCTTCATCATCTTCTTCTTCTTCTTCAAGATGATCATCCTCAGTCTCTTCCCCTTTTCCTTTTACAAGATAACACAAAGATGGTATCAGACAAATCAAATAAGAGACTGCAATCAACACAATATATCTCCTTTACAACGCTAACACAATATATTTACCTGATGCTTTAGCTGAGGGAGGCTCAATGACCGGAGGAAGCAACCTCGGAACTCCAGTAGCTTCAGGCCAAGCAGATACCTCAGGAACATCATTGAATTTGGCGGCGTAATTTTTGTGATACCGTTCAACAGAGTAACAGTCATCTACATATTGCAAAGGATTGATTTTTAGCTTATCGCAGACAGCTAGAGCGTGCACACATGGAGAGTTGCTCCTTTGAAACTCCCCACAAGTGCATGTTAAGTCATTCAACTGAACAATCTCGCAGCTCGAGTCATCCTCCGACCGATCCACAGAAAGCCCTCTCCTAAAAAGCACTGTCCTCTTCTTTTTCTTCGAGGTCGTTGTGACCTGAAACGCACCATCTCTCTCCAACGGCTTCACAACGCAAGTAACTGAGCCTGTTGTGAACTTTTCAAGCGTGACGAATTCTGTGTACACATGGCCTCGGTTAAGAGAGCAACGGCTTAGGCTAAAAGACTCTTGGAAATTGTCTCTCATCTCACCAAACTGAAGCATCACGCCACATGCCATTCCAACTTTCGGAAACCTCTCACAAACCGCAAAGAGAGCTATAGTGTTGATCGTCATGCTTCCGTATCTCCGACGACTAACGTCATGAGACAGAGCCCACTGCTGCGGAGGAAACTTATCCAACCATTCCCAAGCTTCTTGGTTCTTCTCTTTCATCTCCTTCATGTAAGAATCAAACTCTTCCTTCTTCCACGTGGATCCAGCCTTCTCGACAAGGTTTCTCAGTTTGTTGTCTTTAAAAACGCCATGGAACTGGGAGGACAAATGATCAAGACAGAACACGTGGTAAGCCCAAGGCTCTTGCCACTGAGACTCCGGTTCGTTAACAACAGCGACTATGTCCGGATGGGGACTGGTTCTCAAGCAAAGTCCTTTCCTTTGAGTAACCTTCTCTCTAATTTTACCAAGAAACCAACGCCAACTATCAACAGTCACTTCTTTAGTAACCGCAAACGCAAGCGGCAAGTATTCATTTTACAAACAGTCTAAGTGAAGTGAATATGAAAGATTCAGTGACCCAAACAGATTTACAGTGTCTAATACAGTAACGAATATTTGAATATTTCATTCTATCTTCGTAATTCGTCATATATGCAAATGAAATACGGTAATGTCTATTTATGAATTTTGAATCAAAAAAACAATTAATTCGATGAGATTCTTAAATATTTTAAAATATTGTCGTTGTTGTTTTCCCCCTCTCTTTAGTTTTAAGGAAATATCTCAAATAAGGAAAAAAAAATTAGAGGAAACTCTTGGAATTGTTAACCAAAATCCTGAAAACAAAAAGGAAATAGGGTTACAAAAATCGTATATATAAATACCTAATTGTTGTCCCAAGTAGCCACCAACACAAACAAACCAATATTCATCTTTTATATTATAGATTGGCACTTCATACACGAACACTTCGTGATTCTCTACTTCTTTCCTTCTTCTTTTCTTCGACAAGATCATGAGATCTCCGGTGGTAGATCAAGACATGATTCAAGAAATCATCTCTCGTCTTCCAGCTTCGGATGTTGGAAAGTCAAGGCTCCTGAACAAAGAAACCAACGAGAGAAGCTACGAGTCGTGGTTCCTCAACCTAAACCTCCATAGAACCAATTCTATCTCAGGATACTTCGCGCAATACTACGGAGAAGGATACAAATACAAGAACAGATTTATCCATGAGAGGAGAGGTTTCGAGAACAATAAAGTCTCGATCGATTTTCTACCACCAGGAAACGTCAAAATCGAAGCTTGCGACGCAAGTAACGGGATCATGCTGTGTGCTCTTGAAACAGGACCAAGTGCGCCGGAGTTTATAGTCTGCAAACCAACGACAAAGCAGTACCAGATCATACCGGATCCCATAATGCAGAATCTCGCCGTCTCGTTCGGTTTAGCGGTAATCCAATCAAACCCTTTCAGGTACAAAATACTTAGGCTTTCCCCTATGAAATATGTACCCAGAATAAACAACCGGAATCACAGAACGTTCGCGTGCGAAGTGTTCGATTCCGGTTCGTTTTCTTGGAAGAGGATTAAAAATCTGCGTATACCAAGAAACGACGGTCTTGCTCTTACAGAACCGGTGGAAGCTGCTGGTTTCTTCCACTGGTTATCATGGGAGGAGAAAGTGATCCGGTTCTGTCTCCAAACCGAGTCTTGGTCTTTCTTTCAAACACCGAAGTTCGGTATTTCTCCTAAACTGGTCAGGTACGAAGGGAAGCTAGGTGTGATTCGTTCGTGGTTTAAGGATACTGGTGAGAAATTTTACCGGTTGTGGGTTTTAGAGAGAAGTTGTGAAAAGTTGTGGGTAGAAGTGAAAGATGTTAAAAACATGGGGATAGGAGAGAACGTTTTGTGGACTCAATGCAACGACGTCGTGACGTTTTCTGCATGTGATCGTCTTTTCTCCTACGACACAAACACTGAGAAGGTGAATATCTTTCACGTAAAGAAGGTTAATTACGTTTGTTTCCCGTTTTGTTCTGATTACGAGAAGGTTGATCTGGATCAGAATGTGAAAGAAGAGGATGATGCGCCAAATGCAATTTAATTAGTCAAAGCCAACGTGATTGGTTTATCTCAAAATATATGTCATTTTGTAATCTGTTTGTTGTTTCAATTTACAAGTTTATCTCTAGTGAAAAAAAAAAACTTGAAATCTTTATAATTTGTTTGTTGAAAGAATGTAAGACTAAGTTCTATCTATATAATTCAGAAACTTTTGTTCCACCATATTTTCGTTATGATATAATGAAGTAAAGAGTGATGATTCAATTCAATGACCGCAAACCGATTTTCATTTTAATTTCCACTAATACAGTAATACGTAATGAGTTTTTTCATTGCATTTGGTTTATAATTTTAGAATCTTGGTAATATGTAAACCATTACAATCATCAGTGAGAATAGAGATACATTTTTACGGAATCATTACAATCATAGAAGTCCCAAACCATTAAGATTTGAATGGTTAGTGAGTGGATTGCTCTGGCCAATCAGGCTTCAATTAGAAAGTGAGAAAGACCAATGCGACTGAAGTTAAAGACCAGTACGATGGAGAGATCATATCGATATCTTCTCTGCCTACAGTTTAGGGTCATTGAAGACTGAGAGAGGGACCCTGAGAATGATCATGAACATAGACATCTTGTTACCAATAGTAGTAAATATCTTTATGTTCTTTTGTGCAAAGATATCTGTATGTAATTTTACTCTTTCCGGCAAGAATAATTAGGTTAAAAATCATGTTTGTGTTGTGTAAAATCGATATTGTACAACTTAAAACCTTTAAAGCGATATACGATTAGGATTCTAACAAACATAATTTTATTTATTTCCTAAAAAGATGTAAGAAGGTCTATTATATGATTCAAACAGTCTAAGTGAAGTGAATAATTAAGATTCAATGACCCAAGCAGATTTACCGTGTGCACTAATACGGTAACGGATATTTATTCTATCTAGGTAATTCGTCATATATGCAAATGAAATACGGTATTGACTATTTCTAAATTTTGAATCACAAAAATAATTAATTCGATGAGATTCTTAAATATTTTAAAATATATAAAAAAAAAATTGGCGGGGGATTCTTTCTCGTTAATTAGTGTTTTTTTCCCCTCACTTTTGTGTTCAGGAAATTTCGCAAATAAGGAAGAAAAAAAGAGAGGAGCCTCTTGGAATTGTTACCAAAATCGTGAAACAAAAAGAAAATAGGATTACAAAAATCCTATATATAATAGACCTAATTATTGTCCCAAGTAGCCACCGAACAAACAAACCAATATTTGCCTTTCATTATACATTCTCTCATTAATCTCTTTCTCTAGGCGATCATGGCTTCTTTTGAAATCAACGTAGACATGATACTTGAGATTCTTTCTCATTCTCATGTTTCGGTGGTTGAGAAATCTAGACTCTTGAACAAAGAGTTCAACAAGAGAACCCACGACTCTTCTTTTCTAAAACTCAAACTCAAAAACATCAATTCTGTTTCCGGTTACTTCGTGGAGTACAACAAGAGCTTAACTCCTCTATTCACTTTTATCAAAAATGACGGAATCATTCCTCACGGGTCTGAGATCTCTCTGGATTTTCTACCACCAGGAAGAATACACATCAAAGCTTGTGACGCAAGTCATGGGGTTTTGGTGTGTGTTAATGATCTTCCGGTTAGAGGAAGACATCCCAAGTACATGGTCTGCAAACCAACAACGAAACAGTACCAGATCATACCGAGGCCAAAAACCCGGCATTTCACAATCGCGTTCGGTTTGGTGGTGATGAGAACTGATCCTCTCCGGTATAAAATCATATCAGGCTCTCGCCTTCCAATGCGAACAGGAGGTACAACTCCAATTTTACTCTCGTTTGTGATGTTTTCGATTCCGATTCGTTTGCATGGAGGCGACTATCAAAGAACGTGGAACTACCGGCAGAAGATATGCCAGGTGTAAGAATGTCCGAACCCGTTGCTGCTTACGAGTTCTTGCATTGGTTAACGGCCAACAACAACGTGTTACGGTTTTGTCTGAAAACCGACACTTGGTCGTTTCTCGCGGTTCCTGAGCATCTAGCGAGCGAGAAGTCTCTAAAACTGGCAAGGTACGAAGGGAAGCTTGGGGTATTCAGATCAAGATCCAAGGAATATCATGAGATATGGGTTTTAGAGAGCAGTTTGGGGAGTTCTTGGGTGAAAGTGAAAGAGATTAAAAGTATGGGGCTCGAACCGGTGGGAATCTTGAGCAACGACGTCGTAACGCTGGTTGACAAGGAAAAGTTCTTGTACAATTACAATATGAATAACGGGAAGTCTCAGAAGCTACAAATTAGGTCTCCAAGATTTTCTCCTTATATGGTTGCGAACTCGAGTTATTTCCATCTCTGTTCTGACTTCAAGAGAGTTAAATTTGGCGGGAGATCCAACGGCTATCAACAAGACAAGTCACTTTGAGTATGAAAAAAAAATGATAGTCGTTTGTGATGTTATACATTTTATTATTTTGTTGTTGTTTTTCGCGTTAATTATCACATTTCTCTTGTATCAATATATGATGATTCAGTAAAGTAATCAAGTTTTTTACATTTCCAAATCCACCGAGAATAAAATTAACAAACCGGATTGATTCAATGCAATGTCTAACATGAACCGGTTTGATCCAAAGTCTGGTTTGGTTCGACCAAAATCTATCCAATTTCAAGTTCTTCTTCTTACTAAAAAACGGGAAACCCAAAACTCAAAGCTCAAAAGGCAGTTTGTTAAAGCCGGCAAGAAGAATCCTAAGAAGGTTATGATAAATTCATATACAGAGCAAACTGCTTGCTTTAATTCTTCTAATTCTTCATCATCATCATCCTCTAATTCTTCATCATCATCATCCTCTTCAGTATGTAATTTTACTCTTTCCGGCAAGAAGAATTAGGTTAAAAATCATGTTTGTGTAGTGTAAATAGGTTAAGGCATTGGCTCTTTTGATATTGTACAACGGAAAACCTTTAAAGCGATATACGATTAGGATTCTAACAAGCATAATTTTATTTATTTCCTAAAGAGATGCAAGAAGTTCTAATTAATATATGATTCAAACAGTACAAGTGAAGTGAATATGAAAGATTCAATGACACAATGACACAAACAGATTTAGTTTACAGTGTTGTCCACTAATACGGTAACGAATATTTCATTCTATCTTGGTACGTAATTCGTCATATATGCAAATGAAATACAGTAATGACTATTTAAGTATTTATAAATTTTGAATCACAAAAATAGTTAATTCGATGAGACTCTCAAATATTTTAAAATATAAAAAAGGACAATTTGGCGGGGGTTCTTTCTCGTTAATTAGTGTTTTTTTCCCTCTCACTTTTGTTGCGTTAAGGAAATTTCGCAAATGAGGAAGAAAAAAGAGAGGAGTCTCTTGGAATGATTACCAAATTCGTGAAACAAACCGATTTACATTGTCCACTAATACGGTAACGAATATTTCATTCTATGATTATATCTAGTAATTAGATTTTTTTTTTAAGTTGAATCACAATTTTTTAAAAATTTAATTCAGTGAAATTCTTAAATATTTAAAATAAAAAGACAAATTGGCGGAAGTTTCTTCTCGTTGTTGTTTTCCCTCACTCGTTTGTTATAGTTTAAATTAAGGAAATATCTCAATTAATAAGGAAACTCTTGGAATTAGTCCCAAAATCGTTAAACAAAAAGGAAATAGGGTTACAAAAATCGTATATATAAGAGACCTAATTGTTGTCCCAAGTAGCCACCGAGCAAACAAACCAATATTTGTCTTTCGTTAATACATTCTCTCAATAATCTCTTTCTCTCGACGATCATGGCTTCTTTTGAAATCAACGCAGACATGATAACTGAGATTCTTTCTCATTCTCATGTTTCAGTGGTTGAGAAATCTAGACTCTTGAACAAAGAGTTCAACGAGAGAACTCATAGCTCTTCTTTTCTCAAACTCAAACTCCAAAACACCAATTCTGTCTCCGGTTACTTTCTGGAGTACAACAGACGCTTAAAAGCTCACTCCACTTTTATCAGAAACCAAAAAAACATTCCTCACAAATCCGAGATCTGTCTCGATTTTCTACCACGAGGGAGGAAGAGTAAACATCAAAGCTTGCGACGCAAGTCACGGGATTCTGTTGTGTGTCAATGATTTACCGTTCAGAGGAAGACACCGGAGTACATGATATGCAAACCCACAACAAAGCAGTACTTGGTCATACCAAAACCAAAAACCCGGTATTTCACAATCGCCAGCTGACCCTCTCCGGTATAAAATCATTAGGCTCTCACATTTGCCTTCCAAAGAGAAGAGTAGGTACAACTTCAATTTTACTCTCCTTTGCGAAGTTTTCGATTCGGATTCGTTTGCATGGAAGCGACTATCAAAGAACGTGGAGCTACCGGCAGAAGACATACCAGGTGTAAGAATGTCTGAACCGGTTGCTGCTTACGGGTTCTTGCATTGGTTAACGGCAAACAACAACGTGTTACGGTTTTGTCTGAAAACCGAAACCTGGTCGTTTCTCACGGTTCCTGAGAATCTAGCGAGCGATAGATCTCTGAAACTGACAAGATACGAAGGGAAGCTTGGCGTTTTCAGATCAAGATCGAAGGAAGGAGTGGATTATCAGGAGTTATGGGTTTTAGAGAGCAGTTTGGGGAGTTCTTGGGTGAAAGTGAAAAAGATTGAAAGTATGGGGCTCGAACCTATTGGGTTCTTGAGCAACGACGTCGTAACGCTGGCTGACGTGGATAAAAAGTTCTTGCACAATTACAATATGAACAACGGCAAGTCTCAGAAGTTACAAATTAGGTCTCCAGGATTCTCTCCTAATATGGATGCGAGCTTGAGTTATTTCCATCTCTGTTCTGACTTCAAGAGAGTTGAATTTGAAGTTGGTTTGGTCTTCTCCTTTTCCTTTTACATGGTGACAGAAGAAACAAGGGTATAAGGATTGATTGTTTGTCTTAATGAAGATGTATAGAAATTGACAACGACTAAACCTGGTTTCTCTTTTGATGCAGGTTTTGACTGCTCCTTTGTAGATTTCTCAGTCTTCTTCCTCTTATCAGATGCCTTTGGACTTGTATCACTCTTCTTCCGTGTTCCTAATCACCATTATGTTTATGAATGTTAGGAATATTAGTCATTTAACAACAAATGATATTACAATGCAACTTGGTTTCACTTCAGTTTCCATTCAGATTTTTGGCCTATTAATAAAGTGATGATTGATTTTAACATACAAAAGCAACAACAGAGTAATATTCCACACAAAATCCAAAGTAAAGAGGTACTGCATAATCACCAATCACAAAGAGTAAGCAATATTCCACACAAATCCAAAGTCTCGACCAAAATCCATCTAACTTTCACCTCAGCTTCTTGTTCTAGAGAGTAGTTTTTTGTTTGGACTTACCTGGTACGCTAGTCGAAGGGGGCGGTGGCGGTGTCATAATGACCGGAGGAAACAATGTCGGAATTCCAGAAGTTTCCGGCCAGGCTGATACTTCAGGAACAGGATTAAAAGTAGCGGCGTAAGTTTTGTAAAGCCGTCAGTAGAGTAATAGTCGTCCACATACTGCAAAGGGTTGATATTAAGCTGCTCGCAAACCGCTAGAGCGTGCAGACAAGGGAACTTGAAAGCTTGAAACTCCCCACAAGTGCAGGTTAAGTCATTCAACTGGACGATCCATCCATTTTTTCGTAAAGGTGTTGTGACCTGAAACGCATTATTGTCTAGCGGCATTACAACGTACGTAACGGAAGTTGTCCTGAACTCTTCAAGCGTGTCCATGACAGGTTTGGTGTACATATCTCCGCGTTTAAGCCTACCTAGGCTATCACAAAGAGATTTTTGAAAATCAATTCTCAGCTCATCAAGCTGAAGCAATGCAGCCCCTGTCACTGTCACTGGAAGAGCAAGACCAAGAGACTGAATGCTATCACAAACTGAAAACAGAAGCTCTATATTTGTAATCATGAATCCATATCTCCGACCACCGTCATGAGCAAGAGCCCACTGATGTGGAGGCATTTTGTCTAACCATTCCCAAGCTTCCGAGTTCTCCTTTTTAATAGTGTCCATGTGGGAATCAAATTCGTCCTCCTGAGCCATGGATCCAGCCTCGTCCACAAGGATCTTCAGTTTGTCGTCTTTAAAAATGTTATGGAACTGGGAGCACAGATGATCAAGACAGAACCTGTGATAAGCCCAGGGTTCTTGCCAACGAGACCCGGGTTCGTTAACAACAGCTACTATGTCCGGGTGAGGACTGGAGATGAGGCAAAGGCCTTCCCTTTGTGTTACCTTCTCTCTGATTCTACTGAGAAACCAACGCCAACTATCTATGAAATCAAGCTTGTCATGGAGACCGAATCATTGATTAAAGAGAAAGAAGAGTGTCAAGAGATGGACTCGATTTCACAAACTCATCTTAAGGCGGTTCCAGAAGAAGAATCATTTTCTCAAATTGAAGCGACTGAAACGGGATCATTGATTCAAGAGCGAGATGCTCTTGGTGCAACAAAGTCATTAGTGAAGGAAACGTTTCACTACAAAGAGTCCAGTCTAGAAGAGGAAGCAAATCAGATTGAGGCAATTTCACTTCTTTAGAATGGGAGAAAATAAACGTTTTCAAAGACTTGGCGATTCAAGTTCAAAGATAAAGCAGAGACAGCAGCTTTGCAAACTGTTTTTCATATGTCAATGGGATGCAAGACGCATATACTATGATTGACAAAGGGTTCGTTACAAGGCACATTTACACGAGAGGAAGTTTCTGTGGGAAATGACGGTTTGTAACAACAGAGAGAAAGCAGGGTTAAAGGAAAGGCCTGAAAGTGCGAACGCAGATGCTGCTGAGGTGTTTCAGTTTCTGCAAATCACAAAACCTGTAACTGTTACTTTGGGGTTAGCTCAGGTGAAGGATGTCCATACAGCGATTTGTAGTATTCAGAGGCCATTTCCCTGTGTTAGACTTAGACGTTGGACTATACAAATCGATACTCATTTGTGGCATCGATGGAAGACCAAGATTGGGATATTGCAGATTGTTTCAGAACTGGTGCTGCCGAAAGTGGATATTTTTCAGGTTACAAAGTGGATAGTTTTGCTTAATTCAAGCTTGAGGTCAAGCTTCATTTCAACCGAGGGAGTATACATGAGAATATCTACTTCTCTGTTAATAGTGGAGGTGCTGAATTGGTTGTTATCAACAGCAAGTAAGTTTGATATTTTTGAAAGAAAAGCTTGATTACACATCTACTGCAAAGTCTGATACAACAAGAGAAGAAATGGAAGACGCTTTACAAATCGATGATGTTCAAGTATAAAGGAAGGGTGATTGGATACAAAAGCTCTTCTGCAATCATAGGGACCAAGAGACAGAGCTCAAAACTGTCACTAGCTTTTAAGTGGGAAGAACTGTTAACTCTTGTCTATACAACATAACGTCAATAAAATAAAAATTGATCCAAAAGAAGGTATTAAGATTAGTAAAAGCCTCTCAATGTCATGAAAACAACATGAGTTTGTGTGGAAAGTCAATGCCATTATCATGGATAGTTGGTGAACATAAAATATTCTCATTAAGAAGTAAGTAAATTATATATTTTTTAAGGTCTATATTTGATTATGTAGATAAATAGTTATGAGCATATCTGATTTGCTGTGTTTATCAATTGCTACGAACAGTTTCACAAACCTAATTGAGATTGTAGATGTGGATATGGTTGCAAAAAAAAAAAAAAAAAGATGTGGATATGGAAAAAAATTGCTAGGAGACATGCAAACTGTTGTGGCTGTCATACCGTGCAGTATGCGTGCACTGATGACAAACTGATGTGTTTATATGAATTTTGTTTCATATTGCATATGAAGAAAAAAAAAAAAAAGAATGAGAGATGTTTTTATCAAGATGTCTTTGTCGGCAGCTTGTGCCCATACTCCAGAAAATAGAGTCAAGTATCATGATCTCTACTATGGGAAATCGAAGCAAACTTGGTTAATCATGATGAGATCTGAATCAATTGAAGTACAATCGTCATCTTCAATTAACTTTTCTCAAATAAATAATGGATTTTCTTCTCGGGTCACCATGCCTCCTCAGTCAGTCCTTGATTGGGATGGATTCTACATTTCTCAAACACATATCTACAAATAAATAATGGATTCCCAATCAATAGCAACGAAACAATTAAACAATTCAACCCCAACCGTCTTAAATTTTATAACCTGTGAAAGCTAGCTACTCATGATCCTTAATTTTTTTTATACAAAGCAGAGCGTAATGGGCTTATTTGTTTGATATTTCAGCCCAATGGGCTTATCTCGTTTTAAGATCCGCTTAAAATGAAGAAGAAAGGAGTTGTCAGAGTCAGCTCAGTTTCTTTCACAGCCTATTTTTCAAAAAATTGTTCGTCTTCTACTCTTCTTCGATTCATCACTTTTTTTTCTCCTTCTTCTTCATCTTCTTCAACAACCATTTTCCAGCAATAGGTTGCCCATGGCGCGTAATCGGGTAACAGTTTCTCGATTTCTTATACTTCCTTATTTTGTTCTCTTCGTGATTTTGTCTAGGTTTTTTTTCCCGAATCAATTCATCAAAATCTCACCTCCTTCAGCATCTGTTTGTTTCTATCAATGTTTCTTTTTTTGCTTAGTTTCGTTCATGTTTTTTCTCCACTCCTTCATGCTTTTTTTTCACTTTTCTCCTAGCTGTTAAAATTGATTTTGACTTCGTTTTATGCATTATCAATCAACATTGGGGTTTAAACATTTGCTAGAGTTATCGTTTACTGTTGATATCTCGTTTAGAATTCCCCAAGTGTTTTGGAGTGATTTATGGTTCGAATTTTTCTTCTCTGCAAAAAATTTCAGTTCATTTGGAAGTTTACTACTTTTCGAGTCTATTTCAGTCTTCCTTTGGAGATACTAATTTAATAACGAATAACGAACTTTTTTTTAATGTTGTGTGTTCTTCGAAAACAGGAGGGTTTGGTTTTGTTGCTCGATGTAGGCCCTGCGATGCATAGTATACTCGATGATGTTGAAAAGACTTGTTCATTGCTTCTGCAAAAGAAGGTCCAACATGTTTCTCATTTCTTCTCAAACTATTGCTCAATTCTTTCAAATCTATCAATCTAATGGAAATGTGAATTTTTGAGCTTTTACTTTCGAAATTTCATTATTGGTTTTGTGGTTTTGGTCTCTGGTTGCAGTTGATTTACAACAAGTTTGATGAAGTCGGAATTGTTGCCTTTGGAACTGAAGGTCTCTGCCTTGGATGTTACATTTTGATTACTAATTTAGGAATTTATCCTCTGCTGTATCAGCTATTTGTTAATCAAGTTTCATGTTGACCTCTGCAGCAACCGATAACGAGCTTGCTAGAGACATACAGGTGGATATGAGAACGTCACCGTTTTAAGAAACATCAGAGTCGTCGACGAAGTCGTGACTGAGAATGTGAAACGTCTCCCTCTAGGAACCGTAGCCGGCGACTGTAACCTCCTTAGCTAATTTCTTGCTGCTTTTGCCATTTTCTTTCGTTTATATATACATCTTTTGTGGTTTCTTTGACTGGCTTCAGTTCTTGATGCGTTAATCGTTGGCATGGACATGCTTATAAAGAAGTAGGGCGCTTTGCAAAAAGGGAAGAAGCCTTTGTGTCTCATCACCAACGCAGCGTGTCCTCTACCAAAGACCTATTCGAAGAAGGTATAAAGATGGAGAGCACTGTCATGAGGTCCAATGTAAGCGGTGGTGGTGATGTTCATGAGAAGATACTAGATAGTAGAGGAGAATGATCATTTGCTGAATTTGTTCTCCAGCAACGCCTTTGCGAAGACAGTGTACGTTGAGAGTCCTCTCTCTCTGCTTGGCTCCTTGAAGACGAGGAGAGTTGCTCCGGTTACTATCTTCAGAGGTTAACACAACAATGAAGCTTA